ACTGGTAAACTGAGAGCTTCACCTTCTGGCTCAGCTCTCTCTTCACCATGACAGACCGGTACAACACCCACATCACTGCAGATACAGCACCAATCAGCCTGTTGATCTCCCGCTCCATTCTTCCCTCATTCATGAACAAGACCCTGAGATACTTAAAGTCCTCCACTTGGGGCAGGACCTCCTCCCTGACCCAGAGAAGGCACCCTACCCTTTTCTGAGTCAAGACCATGGTCTGGGATTTGGAGGCACTGATTCTCATCCCGGCTGCTTCACACTCGGCTGTGAACGGCTCCAGTGAGAGCTGGAGATCAGGATCTGATGAAGCCAACAGGACCACATCATCCACAAAAAGCTGAGATGTGATCCTAAGGTCACCAAAAAGGATCCCCTCARCACCTTGGCTGCTCCTAGAAATTCTGTCCATAAAAGTTATGAATAGAATATTGCCAGTAATGAACTTCATGCTAAACAGAAATCAGTCAATAAGAATATGAGTTTGTTTTTGTTCAGAGTGACTGCAGCTGTAAGCCCGGATACAAAGGAACCGGGTTCTTCTGTGAGCCCGTCAACCAATGTGTGACTGAGACTGGGGGCTGTCACTACCTGGTGAGTTCTGTTCAGGTTCTTATTCAAACAATAACATTACCTGTTATTATCATTGAGTCAGGAGCTGTACCTAGACCGATCACCAGGTCAGGATCCATTACTAAACCGATCGTCAGGCCAGGACCAGTTATTAGACCGATCATCAGGTCAGGACCCTTTATTAGACCGATCATCAGGTCAGGACCTATTATTAGACCCATAGTCAGGTCAGGACCCATTATTAGACCGATCGTCAGGTCAGGACCCATTATTAGACCGATCGTCAGGTCAGGACCCGTTATTAGATGATCATCAGGTCAGGACCCATTATTAGACCAATCATCAGGTCAGGACTCGTTATTAGACCAATCATCAGGTTAGGAAATAAAGCAAAKATGAAGATACACTAAACTTTTATCCTGGTCTTGTCCCTGTCTTCAGGCCAGCTGTCATCTCCTGTCCTCAGGGTGGAGGTGTGTCTGTGATGATGGGTATGTTGGAAACGGACTTCTGTGTTTCGGTTCAGTTCAACAGGTGAGGACAACCTTGTTCAGTTAGCTTCACCTCATCTTTAATTCTAGTCTGACCTAGTTTCTGTGTTTCAGGAGCTGATGACTCTACCCAATGCCTCAGATTTCTTTATCTGGACCTCAGTAAGTTTCTAAATTTTATGACCTGTATATGACCTGCTCACATCAGAACCCAAGTCCAAAAACCACTGACATGCTGGGTCAGAGAGAACGAGTCTTGGCTGCATGTACTACTGACATAGATCCTGGCTTCAGACCTACCTGAAGTCCACACCTGTCTAGTGTTGGAAAGGTTCAGAGCTTTTGTCAGACTGACTGGGGTGGACCCACCGGGAGGTTTGGTCTGACCTGAATTCAGGAGTCAAGCCTGGACCACTAGGCATCTGGGAGCAGATCCTGTCTGAGCTTTCTGTTTTTGATGTAATGTTTTTCTAACAGGGGTCTGGTCTGTCCAGTTCTTTGTCTGATCAGAACGTCACTCTTTTGGTTCCAACATCTGCTGCCATCAGTAAAATGTCCTCAGAGGACAGATCCTTCTGGACAATGAAGGGGAACCTGCCAAGCCTCATCAGGTTTCTGCCTGGTGCTAAAGTCAGATTTTAAAAATAATTGAAGTTCAGATTAAAGACAGTTGCTTTTTCTTCTGTCTGACAGAAACCACATGATCTCTGGAATCTACCCTCTGTCTGAACTCAAACACAAGTCCTCTGTCATGTCTCTGCTGTCCGCAGGACTTCCTGTTTCTACCAGAGACCAGGTCAGGGGTCCAGATAAACATATCAATTGTAGAAAACTTCTGTGTTTCTGTTTGGGTTTGAACCATTGTTGTTGTGTCAGATGACATCTGTTGGTGGAGCAACCATCATCACTTCAGATGTAGCTGCGACCAACGGCTTGATTCACCTCATAGACCAGGTATGGAACTAAAGGACAACCTTCTGCTTCTCCTAAAGTATGAAGCTGCAGAACTGAGGAGAACCTGCTTTTGTCCTCAGGTACAGAAGTAAAGGAGAACCTTCTGTTTCTGATATACTGTATGCTCTTTGTTCTGTGTCCAGGTTCTAGTTCCTGACAGGAAGCTAAGTGAAGGTCTGCTGGCGACGCTTGCTCTCAGACCCGAGTTCTCACTCTTCAGATCCTATCTAATTGTATGAACACACACACACACACACACACACACACACACACACACACACACACACACACACACACACACACACACACACACACTATTGTTTCATACTTTGTTTTTTACTTCAGACTTATAATCTGACTGATGAGATCCAGCGGGCTGATGAATTCACCGTCTTCGCTCCAACCAATGATGCCATCAACAACTTCCTGCAGAAGATGGACGCCACATTCCTGGTGACCAAAAACCTGAAAATATAAAAAAATTTAGCTTCTATCAACATCCTGGGCATGAATGTCTAATTCTATCAACAAGACCTGATGCTGCTCAGTAATCCAGGTAGAAAAATCAAAATGAAAAATTAAGTAGATCTTATGGACAGGTTCTTGTTTAAAAAAATGTTTCATTAAAAAAAACATCCAGAGGACCTACTATTATTTTAGCTCCATCATCAAGCTGCTGCCAGAATTCTGGCTGCTATAGGATCAGTTCTCTTGGTGGAACTGGTCTTGTTCTGTTCCTCTGGTTGGGTTCCTGGTTTCAGACCCAACTTTTAGAGTCCTCGTGTTCATCATGATGATGTAAACATTAACGGTCATGGTGATGGACGTGGACCTTCATGTTCATGGTGATGGACGTGGACCTTCATGTTCATGGTGATGGACGTGGACCTTCATGTTCATGGTGATGGACGTGGACCTTCATGTTCATGGT